GGTAGAATTCGAGTCCACATTGGAATGTGATTGTTAGTTAATTGGCTATAATTTGTAGAGTTGAAATCCACATTGGAATGTGACACTTATTTTAATTTCGTCTTAAACGTGTATAGTGCAATAATATATATGCACTTAATTAGTAACTAATTACTGACACTAGTTTGATCTCTAATTTGAGTATTTCTTTTTAAAATAATTTCAATTTTTTAATTATGGATTGGAACTTGTATAGAGATTTTCTGAAACAGCTGATTGCCACAAATAACTAATTAACTGATTTTTTTATTAGTATCTTATTTCATGTATTTTATTGTGCTTAGTGGATGTTAGGTGCATGTACATTTAATGTTATTCAATGGTTTGCACATTATTGTTTTTCTCTTTTGGGCTAATGCATCTAATCGTGAATCATGTTATTCTTGACAGAAATATATTAATACTAGTATTTGATCTTGTGCACAGGCAATGCTACATGTACAATTATAGTTTACAACATTAGTTGACAACATGGTTAAAAGTACCATTAACTTAAATCTTAACCATACATTTATTTGCATCTCAACCACCCACATTGTGCCACATCATGTTGTCATTGAATGTTGTACAAAAAAGTTGTACAAGTAGCTTTTTCCTTTAAATTATTTTAACTTATAAATTGTATGTTGTATAATTGTAAAATTATAAGTTAAATAATAGTATCACATTTTAAAAAATTCGTTATTAGTAAAAATGAACATCATAAAAGTATTCAAATTCATCACTATAGTTATTATATAAAATAAAATGGATAAATTTTTTTCATTAAATTCAACTAATATATTATACAATCTTGCATGAAAAATTTTAATATAAATGAATTGGTGTAAAGATCTCTATTACAAAAGATGACTTTTCTTATATATATTTTGTGTCGTATCTATAGCATAGCAATACTTAATACTTCTTTTGCATGTGAATAATCAACATACAAATTAAAAAATACTACCTCCTTTTTTAAATAAATGTCGTTTTGACTTTTTTGATTCATTCATTTTGCTATGTATCTAGACATTAATATCTCTACATACATAGCAAAATGAATGAATCAAAAAAGTCAAAACGACATTTATTTAAAAAAGGAGGGAGTATTTTTTAATCAGTCAAATTTAAGGATTAATACATTATCTTTTAATAACGCAACGGTTACATTCTTCAAATATAGACAAATAAAAGATGGTAAATGCATGCAACCATTACAAATTCAAAATATAGTAAAAATATGTGGATGATTGTATGTAATAAATCACAAGAAAAAAAAAATATGTTGTTACGGTTTTTGGATAGAGGTCATAAAATTTTTTATTAAATACAACCTATTTTTATTGAGTGACCTCGTATTATTATTAATTGAAGCTGAATAAAATTAAATGAAGCTCGCCCATAATTATATATATATGTGCAAGCTTCATGTTTAACGCATTAAGTATGATAAATCGTGAATTCGCTCTATTTTTTATTAAAAAAAAAATGTTGTTCTCATATTAATTAATTAGGAGTCGTTTTTATTGATCCAGATAAGTAATTTTCCAATAGAAGATGACAATTAAAGTCAAATTTTGTTATTTTCGAACGCTAACATTGAAATTATTCGTTTCATATGTTAAAAATTAATAACCATCGCCAAACAGAATCAACAACAGAGATACTGATAAGAGATATGAAGAGAAAAAAAGGTGACTTATATATATATATATATATTTGTATTTTCAAAACTATAAAATATCTTAAAGACTCAAACCTAACATATTATAATGTAGGAATCCCCAATACCTGAAATCTTTATTTAGCACACGATTAAAGCATTAACAACACGGCAATATCACAATTATGACTAACGTCAACCATTTTTTTCTACCGTCCAAAGATTTTTAGTATTTTTTTTCTTTTTGTAATACCGTCCAAGTTTTTTAAATGCAGGCCATCTTTTGTCTGTGTCTACCTTCTTTTCATAAATGCTTTGTTTCTGATTGTGTCAGCCAACAATTTAATTGTATTAAATTATACTTATATTATGCATGACATGAGAATCCAAACCCAGATTTCACAATATCATACTCTACAAAATTATGTAGTATCTCCTTTTATTTTTTTCTTATTTATTTTTAATACATAAATATTTATTGTTCATAAATTTTTGTATGAGTAAGTCTAATCATTACGCGAATCGATAATATATAGTACTATTATTTGAACAAAAATAAATACATAGATACATACATCAAATTATTTGTTAAGTATGTTAATATCAAATAAAAGTGTACAATACTATATAATTACACGAAAAATACTCATATATGTGCGATATATCTATTTAATGATGTGTTTATATATGATGTTGTTATTATTGTAATGAATGTGAGAGTAA